CTACCACCGCCCCCGTCCATGAAGGGCGTCATTATTTCCATGGGGAAGGGGTAAAGGATACAGCAACGGCGCTCTGCGGCAATCGAGGTGAGAATTTGTAGATGCCTTAGCTGCAGGGTAATCTTGGTACTCCCATTAATTTGTGTTTGCTTTATAAAATATGAAACAAAAAACGGACAAACATTACATGGCAAACAAACATGTTAATCGATACTGCCTGGCATCTTAGCACGGCGTAGCTGTTTTGCCTGCTTGTAACGCTTGCCGTCTCCCCCACCATCGTTACGATCTTGCTCTTGTTTTTGACCGTCCTTGATCATGACAGTGGGACCAATGTGCTGCTCTAATTGCTCCACGGAGTTGAAGTGTCCATCACCACCTCCATCGTTACGAGCCCGACGTTGCTTGTGGCCGGCCTTGACCATGGCTGTCTTCTTAATTGGCTGCTTGATTTGCTCCATGGAGTTTTGCTTGCCGTCTCCAGCGCCTACTTTACGATCGTTTCCTTGCTTATAGCCGTCCTTAATCATGGAAGTGGGACCAATGTCCTGCTCGACTTGTCCCACCGAGTTGCACTTTGCGTCTCCACCACCATAGTTGCGACCACGCCCTTGCTTACGACCGCCCTTGACCATGACAGTTGTCCCAATGTGCTGCTCGTCTCCAGCTTCTTCGTAACGATCACGCTTTTGTTGTTTGGCGGACACGTTGGAACTGTCGCCAGTATCCCGCTCGAAGTGCACCATCGACTTTAGCTTGAAGTGGAGCTCGTTGGCGAACTCGTGATCAGACTTCCGGTTTTAAAATGAAGTTCCTATAAAAATTAAACCAAAATGAAACCAATAAAATGGATGAAATACAAGAAAAAGGAATCCGGGGGAAAGAAGAAAGGGCAGTCGAAGAAAACTGGGAGTGAGAAAAAGTAAGGGAAAAGTATGGATACCCTTTGAAACGAAAGAAGAAAACCAGCTCCCTCTCACAGTCTGGCTTAGCACTTATTATAGGTTTTCATTATTTTTAGTCACTCAGTCAACGAATAAGTCCCAAAAAAACTACACAATAGTCTGGTCATTTGCGGCAGCAAATCAGTCGCTCGCCGAGCTGTTGAACACGTCCGCGCCAGAGGCTGGCCTGCGGATAACCGGAACACCAACGCATTCTCCTCCACTCCAAGCTGGCCTGTAGGTCCCCAAGGGGCAGATACTTTAGAGGTTACTTCTTTGCCAGTCTAAAGATATTTACATTCAAAACGTTTTGAGCATCCAGTTTCTCGTTCAGCCCACGATCGCGCCCCTGGATGCGTGCGAGAGAGACAGAAAATCAGTCTGAGCGTGACGTCGGGCGCTGCGTAGCCAGTGCAAATTGATTTGTTTCCTTTCGCTATAAAAATTATCTGATCTGATCCAGATTCAGCAATCTAAAAGATATGGTCGTTATCTAAGATTCTGCGTTTTTAGTTTTCTAAAATCTAAATTCTTTGCGAGGGCGGAAGGGGGTGTGGCGAAATTTTGAAACAAACTCGTCTCGGTCCGATATATTAGGAGTGTGGATACCAAATTTGGTTGCTCTAGCTCTAGCTGAGATCTAGGCGCTAATGTTTTACTCTAAGCAAAGCCGCCTATGCTACGTGTGTGTTAGAGAGAGACAGGGGGAGAAAAAATGAAATTGTTTTCTTGATGCTGGCTATAATAATAATACGATCCAATTCAGATTCCGCAGTCTAAAAGATATGGTCATTCTCTACGATTCTGCGTTTTTAGTTTTCTCGAATCTGCAATATTGTGGATGCAACAGATTCTCGTCCTTTGTGGGGGCGGAAGGGGGTGGGGCGAAATTCTGAGATATACGTTTTATAGTGACATCTTAAAGGAGTGTGTGTACCAAATTTGGTTACTCTAGCCTTAATAGTCTCTGAGATTTGTGGTTGCCTCAGATTTTCGTCCTTTGCGGGGGCGGAAGGGGGTGTGGCGAAATTTTGACACAAAACGGTCAAGGTCCGATATCACAGGAGTGTGGATACCAGTGATTGCAGTAAACGAAAGATGTATGTATGTACATATAACTGTTGCGTCCAAATAGCGGTTCACATATGTCTGTATGTGTCGAAATGTATGTATTTATGTGTTTTTAGTTATATTTTATATTTATGCAATTACTAATAAAATGCATGCAATCAAGCTCTACTATATGTATATCATACGTCTGTGCATAGAATTGAAGGCGATGTGCAATGCTTTCAGCACAAGACACCTCAAAGAGAGATCTGAATGTCTTTTGCTCAGCCTTCAATTTTCTGCACAAATACCTCTGATTCCTATTTTGGATCTTTGAATCCTACTGCTACTTTCCTGTCCTTATCGCAGGGCATCCCTCGGCGGTAGCAGAATTTGCACAAAAATTATTGTTGGCGCGTCCGACGCGATGATATTTTACAAAAAAATTGATTGCCGATTGCACACACACACGACGCGGGCAACGAATATGTTTGCATATGTATACTGCAATTTCTTGTGTCACTGTCACTTATTTTTATACCCGATACTCAAAATGAGTATTGGGGTATATTAGATTTGTGGTAAAAGTGGATGTGTGTAACGTCCAGAAGGAATCGTTTCCGACCCTATAAAGTATATATATTCTTGATCAGCATCAATAGCCGAGTCGATTGAGCCCTGTCTGTCTGTCCGTCCGTCCGTCTGTCCGTCCCCTTCAGCGCCTAGTGCTCAAAGACTATAAGAGCTAGAGCAACGATGTTTTGGATCCAGACTTCTGTGATATGTCACTGCTACAAAAATATTTCAAAACTATGCCCCGCCCACTTCCGCCCCCACAAAGGACGAAAATCTGTGGCATCCACATTTTTAAAGATACGAGAAAACCAAAAACGCAGAATCGTAGAGAATGACCATATCTTTTAGACTGAATCTGAATTGGATCGTATTATTATTATAGCCAGCATCAAGAAAACAATTTCATTTTTTCTCGCCCTGTCTCTCTAACACACACGCAGCATAGGCGGCTTTGCTTAGAGTAAAACATTAGCGCCTAGATCTCAGAGACTATAAAAGCTAGAGCAACCAAATTTGGTATCCACACTCCTAATATATCAGACCGAGACGAGTTTGTTTCAAAATTTCGCCACACCCCCTTCCGCCCCCGCAAAGGATGCAAATCTGGGGATATTCACAAATCTCAGAGACTATTATGGCTAGAGTAACCAAATTTAGTATCCGCACTCCTGTTAGATCTCACTATAAAACGTATATCTCAAAATTTCGACCCACCCCCTTCCGCCCCCACAAAGGACGAAAATCTGTAGCATCCACAATATTGCAGATTTGAGAAAACTAAAAACGCAGAATCATAGATAATGACCATATCTATCAGATTGCTGGATCTGCATCAGATCAGATCATTTTTATAGCCAAAAGGAACAAATCAATTTGCACTGGCTACGCAGCGCCCGACGTCACGCTCAGACTGATTTTCTGTCTCTCTCGCACGCACTCTTTGTCGTGTCGTTTAATATTAGCGGCGTCTGCCGGAGGAGAGCCATACGGACTTAGTATCGGGTATAACCGTAGAGTTGCGGTGTCCGGAGCAACTCACAACGTTCCCCCTCGTTCTAGTATCAATCTAGTATTCTTATGAGTGTGTCTAGTACATTTGGTATTTTTTCTACAATAAATCTGCCGGCCCAGGCCCAGGGCCTGATTATCGACGATTTTGCAGGAATTGCTGATAGCTTAGGACGTCCATAAACGCCAGGTTGGCCAACGGTTCTGTGTCGTTCGAATGTTTCGGATTCGGTCATAATTCCGCCTCTTTGGGTGCGACATCTGCCTTTGGCACCGCTGGTGAATTGACATTCGAATCGGCTTCGGATTTGCTTCCGAAGAAAAAATTGGTCAGGATACTCTCCCGCCTCTTGCCGCCGGGATCACCAGTACCCCCGCGGGCTCGACCGCCACTACCACCGCCCCCGTCCATGAAGGGCGTCATTATTTCCATGGGGAAGGGGTAAAGGATACAGCAACGGCGCTCTGCGGCAATCGAGGTGAGAATTTGTAGATGCCTTAGCTGCAGGGTAATCTTGGTACTCCCATTAATTTGTGTTTGCTTTATAAAATATGAAACAAAAAACGGACAAACATTACATGGCAAACAAACATGTTAATCGATACTGCCTGGCATCTTAGCACGGCGTAGCTGTTTTGCCTGCTTGTAACGCTTGCCGTCTCCCCCACCATCGTTACGATCTTGCTCTTGTTTTTGACCGTCCTTGATCATGACAGTGGGACCAATGTGCTGCTCTAATTGCTCCACGGAGTTGAAGTGTCCATCACCACCTCCATCGTTACGAGCCCGACGTTGCTTGTGGCCGGCCTTGACCATGGCTGTCTTCTTAATTGGCTGCTTGATTTGCTCCATGGAGTTTTGCTTGCCGTCTCCAGCGCCTACTTTACGATCGTTTCCTTGCTTATAGCCGTCCTTAATCATGGAAGTGGGACCAATGTCCTGCTCGAATTGTCCCACCGAGTTGCACTTTCCGTCTCCACCACCATAGTTGCGACCACGCCCTTGCTTACGACCGCCCTTGACCATGACAGTTGTCCCAATGTGCTGATCGTCTCCAGCTTCTTCGTAACGATCACGCTTTTGTTGTTTGGCGGACACGTTGGAACTGTCGCCAATATCCCGCTCGAAGAGCACCATCGACTTTAGCTTGAAGTTGAGCTCGTTGGCGAAGTCGTGATCAGACTTCCGGTTTTAAAATGAAGTTCCTATAAAAATTAAACCAAAATGAAACCAATAAAATGGATGAAATACAAGAAAAAGGAATCCGGGGGAAAGAAGAAAGGGCAGTCGAAGAAAACTGGGAGTGAGAAAAAGTAAGGGAAAAGTATGGATACCCTTTGAAACGAAAGAAGAAAACCAGCTCCCTCTCACAGTCTGGCTTAGCACTTATTATAGGTTTTCATTATTTTTAGTCACTCAGTCAACGAATAAGTCCCAAAAAAAACTACACAATAGTCTGGTCATTTGCGGCAGCAAATCAGTCGCTCGCCGAGCTGTTGAACACGTCCGCGCCAGAGGCTGGCCTGCGGATAACCGGAACACCAACGCATTCTCCTCCACTCCAAGCTGGCCTGTAGGTCCCCAAGGGGCAGATACTTTAGAGGTTACTTCTTTGCCAGTCTAAAGATATTTACATTCAAAACGTTTTGAGCATCCAGTTTCTCGTTCAGCCCACGATCGCGCCCCTGGATCATATCGTTGTAGATGGGAACAGCATTGCCATCGTCTAGGGTGAGGTCTTCGATCACGTGCCGGTTGCCACGATGTGCCCCCTTCGATTGGGGGAGAAGTAAAATGTTAAACTAGATGTGTAGTGTGTGGTATGAGGTGCTCGTCTGTGATTGTGTGTGATTGTGAAATCCAAACGAGTATCTCGTCTGACACTTCAGGCAGTGACTGAACAAAAATATTATACGACATAGTAGTATCTTTCTGTGTCGTTTGAATGTTTCGGATTCTGTCATAATTCCGCCGCTTTGGGTGCGACATCTGCCTTTGGCACCGCTGGTGAATTGACATTCGAATCGGCTTCGGATTTGCTTCCGAAGAAAAAATTGGTCAGGATACTCTCCCGCCTCTTGCCGCCGGGATCACCAGTACCCCCGCGGGCTCGACCGCCACTACCACCGCCCCCGTCCATGAAGGGCGTCATTATTTCCATGGGGAAGGGGTAAAGGATACAGCAACGGCGCTCTGCGGCAATCGAGGTGAGAATTTGTAGATGCCTTAGCTGCAGGGTAATCTTGGTACTCCCATTAATTTGTGTTTGCTTTATAAAATATGAAACAAAAAACGGACAAACATTACATGGCAAACAAACATGTTACGCTGTTTTGCTGTTTCGCTGTTTTGCTTGCTTGTAACGCTTGCCGTCTCCCCCACCATCATTACGATCTTGCTCTTGTTTTTGACCGTCCTTGATCATGACAGTGGGACCAATGTGATGCTCTAATTGCTCCACGGAGTTGAATTATCCATCACCACCTCCATCGTTACGAGCACGACGTTGCTTGTGGCCGGCCTTGACCATGGCTGTCTTCTTAATTGGCTGCTTGATTTGCTCCATGGAGTTTTGCTTGCCGTCTCCAGCGCCTACTTTACGATCGTTTCCTTGCTTATAGCCGTCCTTAATCATGGAAGTGGGACCAATGTCCTGCTCGACTTGTCCCACCGAGTTGCACTTTGCGTCTCCACCACCATAGTTGCGACCACGCCCTTGCTTACGACCGCCCTTGACCATGACAGTTGTCCCAATGTGCTGCTCGTCTCCAGCTTCTTCGTAACGATCACGCTTTTGTTGTTTGGCGGACACGTTGGAACTGTCGCCAATATCCCGCTCGAGTGCACCATCGACTTTAGCTTGAAGTGGAGCTCGTTGGCGAATTCGTGATCAGACTTCCGGTTTTAAAATGAAGTTCCTATAAAAATTAAACCAATAAAATGGATGAAATACAAGAAAAAGGAATCCGGGGGAAAGAAGAAAGGGCAGTCGAAGAAAACTAAGGGGAAAACGATGGGGAAAATCAGGGAATAATTGCAGGCGGGGAAGAGAATGTGGGAGTGAGAAAAAGTAAGGGAAAAGTATGGATACCCTTTGAAACGAAAGAAGAAAACCAGCTCTCTCTCACAGTGTGGCTTAGCGTTTATTATAGGTTTTCATTATTTTTAGTCACTCAGTCAACGAATAGAAATAAGTCCCAAAAAAACTACACAATAGTCTGGTCATTTGCGGCAGCAAATCAGTCGCTCGCCGAGCTGTTGAACACGTCCGCGCCAGAGGCTGGCCTTCGGATAACCGGAACACCAACGCATTCTCCTCCACTCCAAGCTGGCCTGTAGGTCCCCAAGGGGCAGATACTTTAGAGGTTACTTCTTTGCCAGTCTAAAGATATTTACATTCAAAACGTTTTGAGCATCCAGTTTCTCGTTCAGCCCACGATCGCGCCCCTGGATCATATCGTTGTAGATGGGAACAGCATTGCCATCGTCTAGGGTGAGGTCCTCGATCACGTGCCGGTTGCCACGAAGTGCCCCCTTCGATTGGGGGAGAAGTAAAATGTTAAACTAGATGTGTAGTGTGTAGTATGTAGTGCTCGTCTGTGATTGTGTGTGATTGTGAAATCCAAACGAGTATCTCGTCTGACACTTCAGGCAGTGACTGAACAAAAATATTATACGACATAGTAGTATCTTTCTGTGTCGTTTGAATGTTTCGGATTCTGTCATAATTCCGCCGCTTTGGGTGCGACATCTGCCTTTGGCACCGCTGGTGAATTGACATTCGAATCGGCTTCGGATTTGCTTCCGAAGAAAAAATTGGTCAGGATACTCTCCCGCCTCTTGCCGCCGGGATCACCAGTACCCCGCGGGCTCGACCGCCACTACCACCGCCCCCGTCCATGAAGGGCGTCATTATTTCCATGGGGAAGGGGTAATGGATACAGCAACGGCGCTCTGCGGCAATCGAGGTGAGAATTTGTAGATGCCTTAGCTGCAGGGTAATCTTGTTACTCCCATTAATTTGTGTTTGCTTTATAAAATATGAAACAAAAAACGGACAAACATTACATGGCAAACAAACATGTTAATCGATACTGTCTGGCATCTTAGCACGGCATCGCTGTTTTGCCTGTTTGTAACGCTTGCAGTCTCCCCCACCATCGTTACGATCTGGCTCTTGTTTTTGACCGTCCTTGATCATGACAGTGGGACCAATGTGCTGCTCTAATTGTCCCACCGAGTTGCACTTTCCGTCTCCACCACCATAGTTGCGACCACGCCCTTGCTTACGACCGCCCTTGACGATGACAGTTGTCTCAATGTGCTGCTCGTCTCCAGCTTCTTCGTAACGATCACGCTTTTGTTGTTTGGCGGACACGTTGGAACTGTCGCCAATATCCCGCTCGAAGTGCACCATCGACTTTAGCTTGAAGTGGAGCTCGTTGGCGAAGTCGTGATCAGACTTCCGGTTTTAAAATGAAGTTCCTATAAAAATTAAACCAAAATTAAACCAATAAAATGGATGAAATACAAGAAAAAGGAATCCGGGGGAAAGAAGAAAGGGCAGTCGAAGAAAACTGGGAGTGAGAAAAAGTAAGGGAAAAGTATGGATACCCTTTGAAACAAAAGAAGAAAACCAGCTCCCTCTCACAGTGTGGCTTAGCACTTATTATAGGTTTTCATTATTTTTAGTCACTCAGTCAACGAATAGAAATAAGTCCCAACAAAAACTACACAATAGTCTGGTCACGCAACATCTAGTTTTTGGGACTTATTTCTATTCGTTGACTGAGTGACTAAAAATAATGAAAACCTATAATAAGTGCTAAGCCACACTGTGAGAGGGAGCTGGTTTTCTTCTCTTACTTTTTCTCACTCCCACATTCTCTTCCCCGCCTGCAATTATTCCAATTTTCCCCATCGTTTTCCCCTTAGTTTTCTTCGACTGCCCTTTCTTCTTTCCCCCGGATTCCTTTTTCTTGTATTTCATCCATTTTATTGGTTTAATTTTGGTTTAATTTTTATAGGAACTTCATTTTAAAACCGGAAGTCTGATCACGACTTCGCCAACGAGCTCCACTTCAAGCTAAAGTCGATGGTGCACTTCGAGCGGGATATTGGCGACAGTTCCAACGAAGCTGGAGACGAGCAGCACATTGGGACAACTGTCATCGTCAAGGGCGGTCGTAAGCAAGGGCGTGGTCGCAACTATGGTGGTGGAGACGGAAAGTGCAACTCGGTGGGACAATTAGAGCAGCACATTGGTCCCACTGTCATGATCAAGGACGGTCAAAAACAAGAGCCAGATCGTAACGATGGTGGGGGAGACTGCAAGCGTTACAAGCAGGCAAAACAGCGACGCCGTGCTAAGATGCCAGACAGTATCGATTAACATGTTTGTTTGCCATGTAATGTTTGTCCGTTTTTTGTTTCATACTTTATAAAGCAAACACAAATTAATGGGAGTACCAAGATTACCCTGCAGCTAAGGCATCTACAAATTCTCACCTCGATTGCCGCAGAGCGCCGTTGCTGTATCCTTTACCCCTTCCCCATGGAAATAATGACACCCTTCATGGACGGGGGCGGTGGTGGTGGCGGTCGAGCCCGCGGGGGTACTGGTGATCCCGGCGGCAAGAGGCGGGAGAGTATCCTGACCAATTTTTTCTTCGGAAGCAAATCCGAAGCCGATTCGAATGTCAATTCAACAGCGGTGCCAACGGCAGATGTCGCACCCAAAGAGGCGGAATTATGACCGAATCCGAAACATTCGAAAGACACAGAACCGTTGGCCAACCTGGCGTTTATGGACGTCCTAAGCTATCAGCAATTCCTGCAAAATCGTCGATAATCAGGCCCTGGGCCTGGGCCGGCAGATTTATTGTAGAAAAAATACCAAATGTACTAGACACACTCATAAGAATACTAGATTGATACTAGAAAAATCACATAAAATATAGCCTACTATGTCGTATAATATTTTTGTTTTTATCCTACTATGTACTCGAAAACATATCTCATGGAGAAAAGCAGTCACTGCCTGAAGTGTCAGACGAGATACTCGTTTGGATTTCACAATCACACACAATCACAGACGAGCACTACATACTGCACACTACACATCTAGTTTAACATTTTACTTCTCCCCCAATCGAAGGGGGCACTTCGTGGCAACCGGCACGTGATCGAGGACCTCACCCTAGACGATGGCAATGCTGTTCCCATCTACAACGATATGATCCAGGGGCGCGATCGTGGGCTGAACGAGAAACTGGATGCTCAAAACGTTTTGAATGTAAATATCTTTAGACTGGCAAAGAAGTAACCTCTAAAGTATCTGCCCCTTGGGGACCTACAGGCCAGCTTGGAGTGGAGGAGATTGCGTTGGTGTTCCGGTTATCCGAAGGCCAGCCTCTGGCGCGGACGTGTTCAACAGCTCGGCGAGCGAGTGTGTGCCTTCCGACTGATTTGTTGCCGCAAATGACCAGACTATTGTGTAGTTTTTGTTGGGACTTATTTCTATTCGTTGACTGAGTGACTAAAAATAATGAAAACCTATAATAAACGCTAAGCCACACTGTGAGAGGGAGCTGGTTTTCTTCTCTTACTTTTTCTCACTCCCACATTCTCTTCCCCGCCTGCAATTATTCCGATTTTCCCCATCGTTTTCCCCTTAGTTTTCTTCGACTGCCCTTTCTTCTTTCCCCCGGATTCCTTTTTCTTGTATTTCATCCATTTTATTGGTTTCATTTTGGTTTAATTTTTATAAGAACTTCATTTTAAAACCGGAAGTCTGATCACGAGTTCGCCAACGAGCTCCACTTCAAGCTAAAGTCGATGGTGCACTTCGAGCGGGATACTGGCGACAGTTCCAACGTGTCCGCCAAACAACAAAAGCGTGATCGTTACGAAGAAGCTGGAGACGAGCAGCACATTGGGACAACTGTCATGGTCAAGGGCGGTCGTAAGCAAGGGCGTGGTCGCAACTATGGTGGTGGAGACGCAAAGTGCAACTCGGTGGGACAATTCGAGCAGGACATTGGTCCCACTTCCATGATTAAGGACGGCTATAAGCAAGGAAACGATCGTAAAGTAGGCGCTGGAGACGGCAAGCAAAACTCCATGGAGCAAATCAAGCAGCCAATTAAGAAGACAGCCATGGTCAAGGCCGGCCACAAGCAACGTCGTGCTCGTAACGATGGAGGTGGTGATGGATAATTCAACTCCGTGGAGCAATTAGAGCATCACATTGGTCCCACTGTCATGATCAAGGACGGTCAAAAACAAGAGCAAGATCGTAATGATGGTGGGGGAGACGGCAAGCGTTACAAGGAAGCAAAACAGCTACGCCGTGCTAAGATGCCAGACAGTATCGATTAACATGTTTGTTTGCCATGTAATGTTTGTCCGTTTTTTGTTTCATATTTTATAAAGCAAACACAAATTAATGGGAGTACCAAGATTACCCTGCAGCTAAGGCATCTACAAATTCTCACCTCGATTGCCGCAGAGCGCCGTTGCTGTATCCTTTACCCCTTCCCCATGGAAATAATGACGCCCTTCATGGACGGGGGCGGTGGTAGTGGCGGTCGAGCCCGCGGGGGTACTGGTGATCCCGGCGGCAAGAGGCGGGAGAGTATCCTGACCAATTTTTTCTTCGGAAGCAAATCCGAAGCCGATTCGAATGTCAATTCACCAGCGGTGCCAAAGGCAGATGTCGCACCCAAAGCGGCGGAATTATGACAGAATCCGAAACATTCAAACGACACAGAAAGATACTACTATGTCGTATAATATTTTTGTTCAGTCACTGCCTGAAGTGTCAGACGAGATACTCGTTTGGATTTCACAATCACACACAATCACAGACGAGCACTACATACTACACACTACACATCTAGTTTAACATTTTACTTCTCCCCCAATCGAAGGGGGCACTTCGTGGCAACCGGCACGTGATCGAGGACCTCACCCTAGACGATGGCAATGCTGTTCCCATCTACAACGATATGATCCAGGGGCGCGATCGTGGGCTAAACGAGAAACTGGATGCTCAAAACGTTTTGAATGTAAATATCTTTAGACTGGCAAAGAAGTAACCTCTAAAGTATCTGCCCCTTGGGGACCTACAGGCCAGCTTGGAGTGGAGGAGAATGCGTTGGTGTTCCGGTTATCCGCAGGCCAGCCTCTGGCGCGGACGTGTTCAACAGCTCGGCGAGCGACTGATTTGCTGCCGCAAATGACCAGACTATTGTGTAGTTTTTTTGGGACTTATTCGTTGACTGAGTGACTAAAAATAATGAAAACCTATAATAAGTGCTAAGCCAGACTGTGAGAGGGAGCTGGTTTTCTTCTTTCGTTTCAAAGGGTATCCATACTTTTCCCTTACTTTTTCTCACTCCCAGTTTTCTTCGACTGCCCTTTCTTCTTTCCCCCGGATTCCTTTTTCTTGTATTTTATCCATTTTATTGGTTTCATTTTGGTTTAATTTTTATAGGAACTTCATTTTAAAACCGGAAGTCTGATCACGACTTCGCCAACGAGCTCCACTTCAAGCTAAAGTCGATGGTGCACTTCGAGCGGGATACTGGCGACAGTTCCAACGTGTCCGCCAAACAACAAAAGCGTGATCGTTACGAAGAAGCTGGAGACGAGCAGCACATTGGGACAACTGTCATGGTCAAGGGCGGTCGTAAGCAAGGGCGTGGTCGCAACTATGGTGGTGGAGACGCAAAGTGCAACTCGGTGGGACAATTCGAGCAGGACATTGGTCCCACTTCCATGATTAAGGACGGCTATAAGCAAGGAAACGATCGTAAAGTAGGCGCTGGAGACGGCAAGCAAAACTCCATGGAGCAAATCAAGCAGCCAATTAAGAAGACAGCCATGGTCAAGGCCGGCCACAAGCAACGTCGGGCTCGTAACGATGGAGGTGGTGATGGACACTTCAACTCCGTGGAGCAATTAGAGCAGCACATTGGTCCCACTGTCATGATCAAGGACGGTCAAAAACAAGAGCAAGATCGTAACGATGGTGGGGGAGACGGCAAGCGTTACAAGCAGGCAAAACAGCTACGCCGTGCTAAGATGCCAGGCAGTATCGATTAACATGTTTGTTTGCCATGTAATGTTTGTCCGTTTTTTGTTTCATATTTTATAAAGCAAACACAAATTAATGGGAGTACCAAGATTACCCTGCAGCTAAGGCATCTACAAATTCTCACCTCGATTGCCGCAGAGCGCCGTTGCTGTATCCTTTACCCCTTCCCCATGGAAATAATGACGCCCTTCATGGACGGGGGCGGTGGTAGTGGCGGTCGAGCCCGCGGGGGTACTGGTGATCCCGGCGGCAAGAGGCGGGAGAGTATCCTGACCAATTTTTTCTTCGGAAGCAAATCCGAAGCCGATTCGAATGTCAATTCACCAGCGGTGCCAAAGGCAGATGTCGCACCCAAAGAGGCGGAATTATGACCGAATCCGAAACATTCGAACGACACAGAACCGTTGGCCAACCTGGCGTTTATGGACGTCCTAAGCTATCAGCAATTCCTGCAAAATCGTCGATAATCAGGCCCTGGGCCTGGGCCGGCAGATTTATTGTAGAAAAAATACCAAATGTACTAGACACACTCATAAGAATACTAGATTGATACTAGAAAAATCACATAAAATATAGCCTACTATGTCGTATAATATTTTTGTTTTTATCCTACTATGTACTCGAAAACATATCTCATGGAGAAAAGCAGTCACTGCCTGAAGTGTCAGACGAGATACTCGTTTGGATTTCACAATCACACACAATCACAGACGAGCACTACATACTACACACTACACATCTAGTTTAACATTTTACTTCTCCCCCAATCGAAGGGGGCACTTCGTGGCAACCGGCACGTGATCGAGGACCTCACCCTAGACGATGGCAATGCTGTTCCCATCTACAACGATATGATCCAGGGGCGCGATCGTGGGCTGAACGAGAAACTGGATGCTCAAAACGTTTTGAATGTAAATATCTTTAGACTGGCAAAAAGCAATATTTGTTTCTCGTCTTATTCCTGAGGCTACAACGGAGGATGTTAAACAACATCTTTCCTCTAAACTTAACACTTCGCCTGTTGATATAGTTGTGACTAAATTTACATTTAAACATAAGCGCAACATATCATTTAAAATTCTTCTCCCTGATTCTTTACTATCCAGTTCTCTAGAACCGTCAATATGGGCTGAGCATACAATTGTGCATGAGTTCCTTCTCAAAGATTCGAACTCGAATCCAAGAATTACCGAACATGCTCCAAAAAACTGATGTACTATTTTTCCATGCACTATCAGAACGTTCGTAGTTTGCTGGGAAAATTGCGTCAAATTCATACTAATAGCGCGTCCTTTGATTTCGATGCCATCGCGTTTACCGAAACCTGGCTTAACTCCTCTGTCAATGATCATGAAATTTTCATTGATAGTTACACTATTTATAGAATGGACCGCCCATCTTTTGCAGGTGGGGTTCTGATTGCAGTTAAATCTGTTTTCTCATATGAGTTATTCCCATTCAATAACATTCACGGAATTGAATTTGTTGCAGTCAAAGTTCGTGTTGGCTCCGCATTTTTCTATTTAACCTGCTCTTACATTCCTCCCAGGTCTGATGCTGAGCTTTACTTACACCACCTCTCAGCAATTAATATTGTTGTTTCTGCATTAGGGTGCAATGATCGAATTATTGTCATGGGGGACTTTAACCTCCCATTTCTTTCTTGGCTGCCTTGTGATGACGCTAACCTGTTGTTTCCCAATTGCCATAATGACTTTATTCCAAATTTAGTCCAAATTAGTGCCGTTAAAAACATTAGGGAGAGACTTCTTGACCTCGTGCTGACAGTTCCATGGCTCCTTGTCACATAAAGTGTTTTCGCAAAATAAACTTTATCGATTTGGATCTACATCTCTCGCGTGTTGATTGCTCGTTTCTTTATTCATTACCGAACATAGATGCAACTGTTAACTCGTTTTATAGTTATATTTACTCCGCCCTTAATACGTTTGTTCCAGACATCACTGTACCTGTATCGTCCTGCCTGGTTCTCCAAGTATTTGTCATACTTAAAAAATAATAAATCCCGGCTCTATAAAAAGTACCAGAAGTCGGGCTCCACGTTGGCCTTAGCTCTATACTCCTCCGCTCGCTCTCTGTTCCTTGCCGTCAATAGTCAGTGTTATAATCATTACCTTTCACAATGTAGTAGTAACTTTCGTAGTGATCCTAAAAAATTCTATTCGTTCGTTAACTCTAAGCGCAAGAGTTTTTCCTCCGTCCCTTCATTACCAGAACAAAACAGAAGCTTCTGCTGTTGGTATTGCAAATTTATTCGCTAACTTTTTCCAAACAACGTACTCGTCTCATATTTACAACGCATCCACTCCGTATCCGTACCAGCTACCTCAAGCTAACAGCATTTTTCTGCCCTTTTTCGAGGAAAGCGTTGTTCTGGAAAGTTTGTCATCTATGGACATATCGTTTTCTGCGGGTCCAGATAAGGTACCAAGTTGCATCTTGTTAGTTAGTTTTTACGGACTTCAGCAAGGCATTCGATTCTGTGAACCATGCTCTGCTTATTCACAAGCTCTCTTTATTAGGGTTCCCAACGAATCTTCTAGATTGGATTTTGTCCTATCTCTCTAACCGTACTCAACGTGTTTTGTTTTCTAACGTGTTGTCAAATACTGTTAATGTTACTTCAGGTGTGCCACAGGGAAGTCATCTGGGCCCGCTTCTATTTATTTTATTTGTGAATGACCTTCCTCAAGTTATAACATACTCTACTACACTAATGTATGCTGATGATGTCAAAATCTGTCTTTCTTACTCTGATTGGTATTTGCACACACGCCTTCAACTTGATCTAAGTGAACTACTATTGTGGTGTTCAACTAATCTTCTTTTTCTGAACCTTTCCAAATGCAAACTTATGACATTTTACCGTCGCGCTCCTCATTTTGTCCCATATGTTCTAGGACATCATGTCCTTGAGCGAATTTCGCGTTCAAATGACCTCGGAGTCCTTTTTGATCATAAGATGTGTTTTAACACCCATATAGCTGCAACTGTAAATAAAGCTAAGGGTGTTTTAGCGTTCATCAAGCGTTGGTCCAAGGAATTTGACGACCCGTACGTTACGAAACAACTGTACATCTCGTTAGTACGTCCTATATTGGAGTATTGTTCTTGTGTGTGGAGCCCGCAGTATAAAGAACAGCAGGCTGTTATTGAATCCGTGCAAAAGCAATTTTTAATTTTTGCCCTTCGGAACTTTAACTGGGACTCAGGTAGAATCTTGCCACCCTACCGGTCTAGGCTACATCTTATTGACCTGCCGTCGTTGCACCATCGCAGAATATGCAATGGCGTAATGTTCGTGCACAAGCTCCTTCTTGGGACTGTTGACTCCCAAGCTCTCTTGGGTCAGATTGACTTGGCCGTTCCATCTAGACCTACCCGTACTTTTAGGCCTAATTTTTCTGATCATGAACCTTTTAGGGTTTTCTGCCATAATTATAACTCCCTCTGTCAAACCCTATCCCCTGAACTGTCTCTTAAACTAATTGCATGCAATATTTATAATCATTTAAATTTAGCTAACTTTTAACTTATCTTTTTCCGCCTTTAGTAACTAAGTACCATTATTAACAGATAATTGTTAATTTAATAAATAAATAAAAAAAAAGAAGTAACCTCTAAAGTATCTGCCCCTTGGGGACCTACAGGCCAGTTCGGAGTGGCGAATGCGTTGGTGTTCCGGTTATCCGCAGGCCAGCCTCTGGCGCGGACGTGTTCAACAGCTCGGCGAGCGAGTGTGTGCCTTCCGACTGATTTGTTGCCGCAAATGACCAGACTATTGTGTAGTTTTTTTGGGACTTATTTCTATTCGTTGACTGAGTGACTAAAAATAATGAAAACCTATAATAAGTGCTAAGCCACACTGTGAGAGGGAGCTGGTTTTCTTCTTTCGTTTCAAAGGGTATCCATACTTTCCCTTACTTTTTCTCACTCCCACATTCTCTTCCCCGCCTGCAATTATTCCCTGATTTTCCCCATCGTTTTCCCCTTAGTTTTCTTCGACTGCCCTTTCTTCTTTCCCCCGGATTCCTTTTTCTTGTATTTCATGCATTTTATTGGTTTAATTTTGGTTTAATTTTTATAGGAACTTCATTTTAAAACCGGAAGTCTGATCACGAGTTCGCCAACGAGCTCCACTTCAAGCTAAAGTCGATGGTGCACTTCGAGCGGGATATTGGCGACAGTTCCAACGTGTCCGCCAAACAACAAAAGCGTGATCGTTACGAAGAAGCTGGAGACGAGCAGCACATTGGGACAACTGTCATGGTCAAGGGCGGTCGTAAGCAAGGGCGTGGTCGCAACTATGGTGGTGGAGACGGAAAGTGCAACTCGGTGGGACAATTCGAGCAGGACATTGGTCCCACTTCCATGATTAAGAACGGCTATAAGCAAGGAAACGATCATAAAGTAGGCGCTGGAGACGGCAAGCAAAACCCCATGGAGCAAATCAAGCAGCCAATTAAGAAGACAGCCATGGTCAAGGCCGGCCACAAGCAACGTCGGGCTCGTAACGATGGAGGTGGTGATGGACACTTCAACTCCGTGGAGCAATTAGAGCAGCACATTGGTCCCACTGTCATGATCAAGGACGGTCAAAAACAAGAGCAAGATCGTAACGATGGTGGGGGAGACGGCAAGCGTTACAAGCAGGCAAAACAGCTACGCCGTGCTAAGATGCCAGGCAGTATCGATTAACATGTTTGTTTGCCATGTAATGTTTGTCCGTTTTTTGTTTCATATTTTATAAAGCAAACACAAATTAATGGGAGTACCAAGATTACCCTGCAGCTAAGGCATCTACAGATTCTCACCTCGATTGCCGCAGAGCGCCGTTGCTGTATCCTTTACCCCTTCCCCATGGAAATAATGACGCCCTTCATGGACGGGGGTGGTGGCGGTCGAGCCCGCGGGGGTACTGGTGATCCAGGCGGCAAGAGGCGGGAGAGTATCCTGACCAATTTTTTCTTCGGAAGAAAATCCGAAGCCGATTCGAATGTCAATTCACCAGCGGTGCCAAAGGCAGATGTCGCACCCAAAGAGGCGGAATTATGACCGAATCCGAAACATTCGAACGACACAGAACCGTTGGCCAACCTGGCGTTTATGGACGTCCTAAGCTATCAGCAATTCCTGCAAAATCGTCGATAATCAGGCCCTGGGCCTGGGCCGGCAGATTTATTGTAGAAAAAATACCAAATGTACTAGACACACTCATAAGAATACTAGATTGATACTAGAAAAATCACATAAAATATAGCCTACTATGTCGTATAATATTTTTGTTTTTATCCTACTATGTACTCGAAAACATATCTCATGGAGAAAAGCAGTCACTGCCTGAAGTGTCAGACGAGATACTCGTTTGGATTTCACAATCACACACAATCACAGACGAGCACTACATACTACACACTACACATCTAGTTTAACATTTTACTTCTCCCCCAATCGAAGGGGGCACTTCGTGGCAACCGGCACGTGATCGAGGACCTCACCCTAGACGATGGCAATGCTGTTCCCATCTACAACGATATGATCCAGGGGCGCGATCGTGGGCTGAACGAGAAACTGGATGCTCAAAACGTTTTGAATGTAAATATCTTTAGACTGGCAAAAAGCAATATTTGTTTCTCGTCTTATTCCTGAGGCTACAACGGAGGATGTTAAACAACATCTTTCCTCTAAACTTAACACTTCGCCTGTTGATATAGTTGTGACTAAATTTACATTTAAACATAAGCGCAACATATCATTTAAAATTTTTCTCCCTGATTCTTTACTATCCAGTTCTCTAGAACCGTCAATATGGGCTGAGCATTCAATTGTGCATGAGTTCCTTCTCAAAGATTCGAACTCGAATCCAAGAATTACCGAACATGCTCCAAAAAACTGATGTACTATTTTTCCATGCACTATCAGAACGTTCGTAGTTTGCTGGGAAAATTGCGTCAAATTCATACTAATAGCGCGTCCTTTGATTTCGATGCCATCGCGTTTACCGAAACCTGGCTTAACTCCTCTGTCAATGATCATGAAATTTTCATTGATAGTTACACTATTTATAGAATGGACCGCCCATCTTTTGCAGGTGAGGTTCTGATTGCAGTTTAATCTGTTTTCTCATATGAGTTATTCCCATTCAATAACATTCACGGAATTGAATTTGTTGCAGTCAAAGTTCGTGTTGGCTCCGCATTTTTCTATTTAACCTGCTCTTACATTCCTCCCAGGTCTGATGCTGAGCTTTACTTACACCACCTCTCAGCAATTAATATTGTTGTTTCTGCATTAGGGTGCAATGATCGAATTATTGTCATGGGGGACTTTAACCTCCCATTTCTTTCTTGGCTGCCTTGTGATGACGCTAACCTGTTGTTTCCCAATTGCCATAATGACTTTATTCCAAATTTAGTCCAAATTAATGCCGTTAAAAACATTAGGGAGAGACTTCTTGACCTCGTTTTTGTTAACGATGGTTCTCTTGATACGGTATCTAGAGCAAGCCCAATATCTCTCCCTGAAGATCCTTACCATCCAACTTTGTTAATATCACTGGAGTGTACACAATCTGGAGGTGCTGACAGTTCCATGGCTCCTTGTCACATAAAGTGTTTTCGCAAAATAAACTTTATCGATTTGGATCTACATCTCTCGCGTGTTGATTGCTCGTTTCTTTATTCATTACCGAACATAGATGCAACTGTTAACTCGTTTTATAGTTATATTTACTCCGCCCTTAATACGTTTGTTCCAGATATCACTGTACCTGTATCGTCCAAGCCTCCCTGGTTCTCCAAGTATTTGTCATACTTAAAAAATAATAAATCCCGGCTCTATAAAAAGTACCAGAAGTCGGGCTCCACGTTGGCCTTAGCTCTATACTCCTCCGCTCGCTCTCTGTTCCTTGCCGTCAATAGTCAGTGTTATAATCATTACCATTCACAATGTAGTAGTAACTTTCGTAGTGATCCTAAAAAATTCTATTCGTTCGTTAACTCTAAGCGCAAGTCAAACGTTTTTCCTCCGTCCCTTCATTACCAGAACAAAACAGAAGCTTCTGCTGTTGGTATTGCAAATTTATTCGCTAACTTTTTCCAAACAACGTACTCGTCTCATATTTACAACGCATCCACTCCGTATCCGTACCAGCTACCTCAAGCTAACAGCATTTTTCTGCCCTTTTTCGAGGAAAGCGTTGTTCTGGAAAGTTTGTCATCTATGGACATATCGTTTTCTGCGGGTCCAGATAAGGTACCAAGTTGCATCTTAAAACACTGTGCCCATTCCCTTTGCAAACACTTGACCTTTCTCTTCAACCTCTCCTTGGAACAGTCTTGTCTCCCAGTAATTTGGAATGAGTCCTATATCATTCCGCTTCACCAAAAAGGTTCAAGATCAAACATTGAAAACTATCGTGGTATCGCAAAGCTTTCCGCCATCCCGAAGCTTCTTGAGTTCCTGGTTTTTTCAGACATCGTTCAACTAACCTTTTTGAGTTTTCTAACCTAATCCAACGTGGTTTTCAAATTGGTTTGCAGACGGATGTAGTTTTCACGGACTTCAGCAAGGCATTCGATTCTGTGAACCATGCTCTGCTTATTCACAAGCTCTCTTTATTAGGGTTCCCAACGAATCTTCTAGATTGGATTTTGTCCTATCTCTCTAACCGTACTCAACGTGTTTTGTTTTCTAACGTGTTGTCAAATACTGTTAATGTTACTTCAGGTGTGCCACAGGGAAGTCATCTGGGCCCGCTTCTATTTATTTTATTTGTGAATGACCTTCCTCAAGTTATAACATACTCTACTACACTAATGTATGCTGATGATGTCAAAATCTGTCTTTCTTACTCTGATTGGTATTTGCACACACGCCTTCAACTTGATCTAAGTGAACTACTATTGTGGTGTTCAACTAATCTTCTTTTTCTGAACCTTTCCAAATGCAAACTTATGACATTTTACCGTCGCGCTCCTCATTTTGTCCCATATGTTCTAGGACATCATGTCCTTGAGCGAATTTCGCGTTCAAATGACCTCGGAGTCCTTTTTGATCATAAGATGTGTTTTAACACCCATATAGCTGCAACTGTAAATAAAGCTAAGGGTGTTTTAGCGTTCATCAAGCGTTGGTCCAAGGAATTTGACGACCCGTACGTTACGAAACAACTGTACATCTCGTTAGTACGTCCTATATTGGAGTATTGTTCTTGTGTGTGGAGCCCGCAGTATAAAGAACAGCAGGCTGTTATTGAATCCGTGCAAAAGCAATTTTTAATTTTTGCCCTTCGGAACTTTAACTGGGACTCAGGTAGAATCTTGCCACCCTACCGGTCTAGGCTACATCTTATTGACCTGCCGTCGTTGCACCATCGCAGAATATGCAATGGCGTAATGTTCGTGCACAAGCTCCTTCTTGGGACTGTTGACTCCCAAGCTCTCTTGGGTCAGATTGACTTGGCCGTTCCATCTAGACCTACCCGTACTTTTAGGCCTAATTTTTCTGATCATGAACCTTTTAGGGTTTTCTGCCATAATTATAACTCCCTCTGTCAAACCCTATCCCCTGAATTGTCTCTTAAACTAATTGCATGCAATATTTATAATCATTTAAATTTAGCTAACTTTTAACTTATCTTTTTCCGCCTTTAGTAACTAAGTACCATTATTAACAGATAATTGTTAATTTAATAAATAAATAAAAAAAAAGAAGTAACCTCTAAAGTATCTGCCCCTTGGGGACCTACAGGCCAGCTTGGAGTGGCGAATGCGTTGGTGTTCCGGTTATCCGCAGGCCAGCCTCTGGCGCGGACGTGTTCAACAGCTCGGCGAGCGAGTGTGTGCCTTCCGACTGATTTGTTGCCGCAAATGACCAGACTATTGAGTAGTTTTTGTTGGGACTTATTTCTATTCGTTGACTGAGTGACTAAAAATAATGAAAACCTATAATAAGTGCTAAGCCACACTGTGAGAGGGAGCTGGTTATCTTCTTTTGTTTCAAAGGGTATCCATACTTTTCCCTTACTTTTTCTCACTCCCACATTCTCTTCCCCGCCTGCAATTATTCCGATTTTCCCCATCGTTTTCCCCTTAGTTTTCTTCGACTGCCCTTTCTTCTTTCCCCCGGATTCCTTTTTCTTGTATTTCATCCATTTTATTGGTTTAATTTTTATAGGAACTTCATTTTAAAACCGGAAGTCTGATCACGACTTCGCCAACGAGCTCCACTTCAAGCTAAAGTCGATGGTGCACTTCGAGCGGGATATTGGCGACAGTTCCAACGTGTCCGCCAAACAACAAAAGCGTGATCGTTACGAAGAAGCTGGAGACGAGCAGCACATTGGGACAACTGTCATGGTCAAGGGCGGTCGTAAGCAAGGGCGTGGTCGCAACTATGGTGGTGGAGACGGAAAGTGCAACTCGGTGGGACAATTCGAGCAGGACATTGGTCCCACTTCCATGATTAAGGACGGCTATAAGCAAGGAAACGATCATAAAGTAGGCGCTGGAGACGGCAAGCAAAACTCCATGGAGCAAATCAAGCAGCCAATTAAGAAGACAGCCATGGTCAAGGCCGGCCACAAGCAACGTAGTGCTCGTAACGATGGAGGTGGTGATGGACACTTCAACTCCGTGGAGCAATTAGAGCAGCACATTGGTCCCACTGTCATGATCAAGGACGGTCAAAAACAAGAGCAAGATCGTAACGATGGTGGGGGAGACGACAAGCGTTACAAGCAGGCAAAACAGCTACGCCGTGCTAAGATGC